GTATTATATACATTGATTACCTTGCAAAGGGTAATACTATCACTGGTCAATACTACGCAGACTTATTGCAACGTTTGAGCCACGAGGTGAAAATTAAACGACCTCATCTGGCGAAGAAAAAAATCTTGTTTCATCACGATAACGCACCAGCGCACACGTCAATCGTTGCGACGGCTAAAATCAACGATCTAAAGTTTGAATTGATGCCGCACCCTCCTTACTCTCCAGACCTAGCCCCGAGTGACTATTTTCTGTTCCCTAATCTCAAAAAATGGCTTGGCGGTAAGAGATTTGCGGACAATGAAGAAGTAATCGAAGCTGTAAATGGTTATTTTGAGGAGCTTGACGAATCAGTCTATAGAGATGGCATTAATAGACTGGAACACCGCTATGAGAAATGTATCAGCCTTGGAGGAAATTATGTTGAGGAATAAAAAAAAAAAAATTTTAAAAACCTTGTTTTTCTTGGTCAGGCCGGAAACTTATCAATCCACCCTCGTATATGTAAGAATTTCGTGATGATTCGGTTAGAGCTTTTTTTTATATCTTACGGTAGTCGAGCTGTAAAATGCATTTACAAACGATGGCAGGTTTCGAACAAAAGGCATCCCCCAACCCATATCACAGATATGCCACTTTGAAATTGCGTTAAAAGTCATCCAGGCAGGTATTCTTCTTCTTCTTCTTCTACTCCATCGGTACCGAAGGATATAATTACACGGCTGCCATTCTGAGAACAGAATTTGTTAATACCGAAAGCGAAAGGTATTTTAAGCCATTTTAAAGAATTAGACTTTATTTCTTGGAAGTGACTCGGTCATTAACGGCCCAACGGACAACACACAAATTGCATTTTACATGTTTTTAATAGAAAAGCGGCACCACTTGTTCTCCGTGCATTATTATCTTAAAGAGCTGTTACCTGTTAGGCACCGCACATAAAATCAAAATGTAATTAATCGTCTGCATTAGAACGGTGCAAAACCCGATTATTAAAATGAGAAAATAATTATCGACTTCATACGCCAGAAATGACTACGATATTCTGTTATTATTTTCACGATAAATCAGTTTCAACAAAGGAAATATAATTAATATATCTAATACATAGTAGAATTATCTACAGACACATAGGTGTACTGTACACATACAATTAATATATACAGTACGACAGATTAGTGTATATTCTATTAAAGAAAAAATACGAGTAATATCTGCACCTATATTTATATATATGTTATGGTTAACATGCCTACTTGGTTAGTTTGTAAATTAGCTGGATGTTGGATGGAATATAAACAGTCTAAATGACAAATCATATGGTTACGGTAGGAGAAGACAACACTTACGTTGTCATGTATTTCATAAAAAGGAAATACCATAACCATATGATCCCAGCCAGCAGTAAACCAGACATTTGCACAGTTTGTAAGTTTTCAAGCTGACTGAGTCCAGTTTACTTATATGTATTGTATATACATACGTGACAAGCACGTAAAGCAAATTATTAAAAAAAATAAGTTCTTGATCAATAATTTATTGAAACTACCAGATGTACATCGTAATTTCGAACTTATTACATTTTATCAGGACACCGTAGGCAGATCCGATAAATTACAAACCAAACCGAAGATGCTCTGTATGAGCAAATCAATATAATATCAAGGTATAGGCCTTACGTTGACCTACTTGACCACTTACGGCTCACTACACGTAAAAATTGCAGGTAATGGTCATACATATTGTAGAGGAAATTTAGCTCTTTAATTTTGAGGGTTAGCTGTATTACATATAATTTTTCATACTTTAAATTTTATTGAATTAAATAGTTTTGAACCAATGTCATTTTTCCATTATCGGAGCTGCCGTTTACGAAATAAATATGAAGAAACATCAAGTACATTTTTGGGGGTGATTTTTCGGAATTGTAGGGAAACTCAGTTGATGGGAACTTTTTTGATCTGCATTGGTAAATTACTATTATATCGAGCAGTAGGACTCTTAAGCTGATCTATACTTGATGAATCAGTCATTACTGGTAAAATTTGCAGGTAATGGATATGCATTTTGTTTAGGAAATTATGTCTTCAATTTTGAGGGTTAGGAATATTACATATAATTCTTCAAACGTGAATGCTTATTGTGAAAATTTTTGTACCAATGATATTTTCTCATCATCGGAGCCACCATTTACGAGATAAATATGAAGGAACATCATCATCAAGTATATTTTGGAGGGTGATTTTTCGCTATTGAAAGGATATTTAGTTGATGGTAAGGGTGGGAAGCTTTTGGGCCTTTATTGGTAATACTTTAAAGAGGTTATTGCCGGCAATTTGATTTTTAATTTGACTGTACTATTAACTGGTAATCGATTATGATCGGTGTAAGTACCAGTATTCTCAAAATCAGTCATGTAGTCTGTTAATATTAACTGATCTTTTTGTTTATGGAATTAAACAATTATTCCTATTCTCTCTTCTGTTAAATAAACCTCGAAGTCGATAAAAGAACCACTGATAATATGAGCTTTAAAAAAAGCATATGTGCCAACGTAGTGACTGAATATTCAATTTGTAACTCCCATAAAGTAATTATCGTTTTCTCAATAACAAGTTCGGCACAAAATAATAAAAGAAGAGCAACGCTCCCTCTTGGCCAAAAAGCAGTCTCAGATGCTGCAACCAGTTTATTGCAAGCAAACAGACATGTTCTCTGCAGTGGTACCTACTATAATATAATGTTGTCGAAGGTGGTTGTTGTTGGTATGACCTTGAAAGAGTTTCAAGTGCACCGGGACGGGCGCATAAAAATCGCACGAGGGAAAAGAGAAAAAAGCTCAGCCGCATTGTTCGCAGTCTGGTCTATATATAGGTCGACTGGTTATGTAAGTTCGACTTTATGGTCGTTTTACTTTTTCTTGGTTGGCTGCATCTCTTTACAGCTCCAACCAAAATGGCATCTGTTGCGTACAGTTCAGCACGTGCACACTAAAATATAGGTGAGCAGGTCCAAGCAGTTTCGTGACTGCCCTACACTCGCCAATTACTCATAACTGCAGCCCTTTGGCTGCTTTTCAACGAGGCGATCATCGCCTTTTCTAAAGGATCGATAACCATGCATAACATGACATGTCCCCATAAGATCATTTACACATTAGATAAAAGTAGTTTCTCTAGTATTATTTCTTTGTTTTCTATAAGTTTGAATCATCATCATCATTCATCATAAAGTCGTCAGTCCTAAGACTAGCTGGATACGCACTTCGACTTACTATCTCCTTAAAAATTTTGAGTATCCTGCTTGTTATCGTTACAATTGCGTGAAGAAAATATGTTGCAATAAATATCTTTATTAATCAAAATGGTTAAGGTAATGTAAGGATAAAACTTGCAAGTAGTTGTAATAACCACACTCAAAACCCATGATTTGAAGACTTCCACAATCATAGGGACGTCTGATATCCGAAGAGTAGTTAGATAGGCATGTCTACTGCTTATTCCTATTCTGAGTCAATCTCCGTATTTTCCGAAAACTGAAATGCCCTATATCCTTAACTGTTTGGAAACATTAATCTAATCTAAGTCGTCTTAAAGGTTAAAGAAGGATTTTTACTCTTGTTTCTGCTTCCAGTATTTAAGTACGTCTCCTGCTAGCCTATCATGCTTCTGAAGGTGTTCTACCATTCTGCCTCTTCCTAAACCTCTTCCATTCATGGCATTATCCTCCTGCAACATCAAATTTTAACTGCTGGTAATGTTTTCCATCTCGCCCACCGTTCATGTACAGTAACGTTGCTTGTTTTATCTCTACCGCTTTTTCTAAATGACTTATCTGACTACCTGGATATTACAAAACTGCAAGTTCTCCTAGTTTTTCGTCTCGAATCTATCATCATCATAAGGTCGTCAGTCCTAAGATTTGTTGGACACGCACCTCCACTCTTTCCTATCCTGAGTTAATCTTTGCATTTCTAAAAGGTAAAAGACGCGCAGGAAAACCGCAAACTAGATGCGAAGACGAAATAATAAGGACCGCCGATCTCACCTAGAGGCCTTCACCCAATTTGGATTTCTTGCAGAAGAAACGAAAAATGAATAGATTCAAAACTTTGACTTACTAACTAACAATTAATTTATAAGCATACTTATTAACTAACATAGTTTTATAGTTTTGTAATAATGTATAATGTAAGAAATAAAAAAATGTTTATTGTAATAAAGAAAAATCAGTGAATTTATGAAGAAGTAAAGGATCTATTGTAGAATTATTGCTGTAACTTTGCCACAAACCATTAAAAAGTCTCTAAAAATTCAGAGTTTTGGGTTTTTTTATTAAAACATTAAATAATTTTCTATTCAAAATGGTTTTTGGAGAAACGATGAGGCAATCTGATAGAAAAATCTTTTCTTTTGAGGTGTGGAACTTTAAAAAACATTTAATTTATTAGTAATGTGTACTTACCATCCAATAACTATATAAATCATCTGTATTTATAATATTATTTGTTCGAAATATTATTTATTTATTAAGGCAAAGTTAGGAGGGGTAGAGGTAGACCTAGATTAGATTACTGTTCGCACATAGTTAAGGATGTGGGTTGTTCTAATTTTAGGGAAATGCGAAGGTTAGCTCAAGTTAGGAAAGAGTGGAGGTGCGTGTCTAACCAGTCTTAGGATTGACGACCTTATGATGATGAAGGCTGTTGTCGTTTGAAATTGCTCCCTACGTTAAAGGTCCTTCCTTCTCTGATGTTGGATGTAAATTGGAGAAACGTTAGGAAGCAACCCCAACCGATTACAGCCTTTGGAAACCCGAATCACGGCAATGCCACTTCACTAACTGGACACGAAAACCTTTATCAATTTGTCCTGCAATCTCTCATTTAATTGAAATAATATAGATTAGAATTTGCTCTTGTAGTTGTTGTGATTTTCAATGAATTTTAACCTTTGCAACTGTGAAACAGGATCTGAGTGTTTTTATTTTTTTCGTTCTAGGAGTCGTCCCCAACTTTGACGCTTATATCGTCAAAGGTAAGCAGACCATGCGACCACAACGTTGTCCTTACAAGGTGTGTCTCTTTGCATTTTATTTCACGTAGAGAAACGCTTGTTATCACCCATTGTGATAATTTTTTATTATTCGAAGCATTTGTGCAAATTTGATGCATTTAATTAAAGCACGATGTTAAATTTTTAACACAATCAGTAGGGCACAGCGGAATCAGTAGTTGCAAAAATTACCATAAGTATCTATTTTTTCTTATTTATTTATTAATATGCTTTTAGGACCCACAGAGTAAATCTGAGCGGTTTATTCATAATTCATGATTTAGGTTCACACTTAATTAAAATTGGTAACTGATTTAAGAAGAAAAACTTGCGAGTTTCATAGGAAGGTGAAACTATTGATTAAGTGATTGTTAATTTTATAATGAAATGCAATTTTTAAGCGATTCAAAAATTTAAAACAGCAAGCTGCAATGGGAACTTTCCGCGTTTTTTTTTTTTGATTAGCTTAAGGCTTGATGGGTTTGTTGTCTCGCTGTAATAGGCTCTCCAAAACTGCATGATAGTTTGCAGCTGTTATTAATAAAATACCGTTGCAGTAATTACAATTGGTTGAACCGGAATTGAACCGTAAAGTCATTAAAAAATATAACGAGTCGTTAAATTAATAATAAGCCGAACATTAAAGTTTTGCAGGTGCAGTATATATTCAATGTTTTTATTTACCTAATCTATTCCAATTATTTTGGTTTTGACAGATATACATGTTTTTGACGCATCCTTTCGAATTTAAAATCTATTCAATTAATTTTTTAAAAGTTGCGCTGATGTATATACATATATTATGCCACCCAAATACTCAGTGTATAGTCACCCATCAGTGGGTCATCACTTTTGTAGTGTTGTTCAACGTCGTCCCTGACTCCTACCCTCACTTTCCGCCTTCTCACATAACACTTGAGGGTCCTACATCTACCTCATGTCGATTTGCGGTTTCATAAAAATAAACCTGTAAAATTTAAAAATTTTGCAGGATTCAGTTTTATATAGGACGATCATGTTTTAGAATAAGTATGCCTCTAGAAAAACTTTTATTGTACATACTGCTATTATATGTATTGTCAGGGGTATCTACACTAATTAATGACTTTTGAGGTCATAAAATACCTTATTATTGCTTGATCGGTATTTACTTTTACACATCACACCTGATCAGTATATATGAAACTTTAGTTGTTTTCATAATAGACAAGTTATACCTAATACCTAAATTCTTGCTTCGCATTTCGAATTAATGTTTAGACTTTAACAATATGCTTAAACATGTTTGGAAGTTGGAACAAGTGTAATTTATATTGTTTATAGTTTGTAAAGAAACTGATTAATATTTAGTTGTTTTCATTATTAAAGCTTCATGGATATAACGCAGATGTATCTAAACCAAAGAAAATTCTACCTAATCTACCTAAAGGTACGAGATAAATTTCAAAATTAATAACCATTTTCAATTTCCATATTAAACAAATGAGTTGATTTTGACTGAAGAGTGAAAAATATAAATGTCAAACCCGCAAACCCAAAGGATTTTGATGTTTTCCAGTGTATTAAATTTCAATAATCTAAATCAAAGACTACAATTCTCTTTACCTTTCCAACTTAACAAATATAGCAAAAAAAGGAAACAAAGCAATACAGTTTTGGAACATTGCTATACCCGTAGCAATTTACCCAGACTGTCTCTATACCTAACAGGTATCGATGCATGTTTTCATGCCTCTTTAATTTTCTAGCCTAATTGTTGTTTACATCTCAAGGTGACGTTATATGTACATGTACAAAGGTACGTACGTAGATGCATCTTGAGCAGGTAAATTTCGGTACCTGTGCACGATCGACACTATTTGCTGCAACGAATTCCCTACGGTTCTAAAAAGTATTCGACTTCATCCAAGTATTTAGATATTGAAAATACCAATAACAACACAAGACCAAAAATTTGATGTGGTTTGTGATGCTGATTCCCAATTTAGTCTCAGAATTACTCCAGCACCTGTCGATTTCCAAATATTCCAGTCTCAAATTTCAAAATACATTTTGAAAGAGGACAAAACATACAAACAAGAAAATAGTCATCTTCAATTTATCATTTACTGCTGAATTAGAATTTCGTTTTAGAATTTCCTCAGCACACGCAGTTTAACAGTTTATTTCGTGCATCCGCATATCCAAAATTTTGAAAAAATTAAATTTTTTCATTACGAAACTATTACAGTACCTGGACCCAGAAATCATCCACGTCCTGTACTGTATTTTTTGGATTTATGTTTTTAGTGTAGCGCAATCAGTCGTCGGTGCTTCGACTAATATTAACATTATATTGAGCATTAATTGTTAGTATACTAATACTCATGTAACAAAATTGTTTTATTCGACCAATCAGAAGTATGTTTTTACTTCAGTCCCCCACCCCCTTAATATTATTAGTACAGGTAAAATTGGATTTGAATCAAAACTCTTCCGCACAACTGAGGATTGAAATTTACCTCATGCACATAATCTTATTAAACAAATTCTCGCTTTCCAGTAGGCGAATATTATAATCTTGTTAAATAAGGAATGTACTGTGTCTACGGTAATCGTGAGGTTGATACGTCACAGTTTGAATAAAAGGAAGGAAGCTACCATATTTTATTAGTAAGACAGTCAAACAATCATAATTGTTGATATTAGATGTTTCGTTAATTAAATGAAGTTAAAATTAGTCATAAAATTTAATAAATTAATTTTTCAAATTCGTTCATCTTTCAAATATCTTCACATTCGCTTTTTGAATTGATGAAGTCTTCACAGGTTTAGCGAAATATCAAAAACACCGACCTGCAATACCTTTTAACCGTCCCCAGCATTAATGTTTGCTTATCTGTATGCAATTTTGTAAAAATAAAGGAAATTATTTACTGCCATTGATAGAAAACAAATTGATGAGCGCGTGAGCACTGGGAAAACTAAATAACTATATTAATTCAATGTAGTTCAATGAGTTAAATTAGGGCAACTATACGATATAAATCTAAAGCTAAAATTAAAGCAAAAGAGCAGCTACTAGAAGTAACGATAAATAGAAGAGGATATAATTGGTTTATCTTCTGTGCTCTGCCTCTAAAGACTTTTTTAAAACCAAAAATTTAAGGTTTTCGAGTAAACAAACACATAAATAAATTCATTGTCTCAAGATAGTCGGTTTTCTAAATATTATCGTAAATTAATTCTTACTGTGCTAACTGAAAGCAACTAATTTTCATAGTATCTGTAATGCGTTGTAATTAATTGCAGATTAGAAATGTACAAGCTCCAAATAACAGATTAGTATGAGCTACCAAAACCCTATAATAGCAAAAAATATGTTAATGAACAATAATAATTAATTGTACCTATTAAATTCTTACAAAAAGGAACAGAATATAACGTATCATTAGCGACTCGTATAAAATCGAAAAAAGGAACTTGTCGTTTGGGTTTGTTGTCTCGCTGTAATAGGCTCTCCAAAACTGCATGATAGTTTGCAGCTGTTATTAATAAAATACCGTTGCAGTAATTACAATTGGTTGAACCGGAATTGAACCGTAAAGTCATTAAAAAATATAACGAGTCGTTAAATTAATAATAAGCCGAACATTAAAGTTTTGCAGGTGCAGTATATATTCAATGTTTTTATTTACCTAATCTATTCCAATTATTTTGGTTTTGACAGATATACATGTTTTTGACGCATCCTTTCGAATTTAAAATCTATTCAATTAATTTTTTAAAAGTTGCGCTGATGTATATACATATATTATGCCACCCAAATACTCAGTGTATAGTCACCCATCAGTGGGTCATCACTTTTGTAGTGTTGTTCAACGTCGTCCCTGACTCCTACCCTCACTTTCCGCCTTCTCACATAACACTTGAGGGTCCTACATCTACCTCATGTCGATTTGCGGTTTCATAAAAATAAACCTGTAAAATTTAAAAATTTTGCAGGATTCAGTTTTATATAGGACGATCATGTTTTAGAATAAGTATGCCTCTAGAAAAACTTTTATTGTACATACTGCTATTATATGTATTGTCAGGGGTATCTACACTAATTAATGACTTTTGAGGTCATAAAATACCTTATTATTGCTTGATCGGTATTTACTTTTACACATCACACCTGATCAGTATATATGAAACTTTAGTTGTTTTCATAATAGACAAGTTATACCTAATACCTAAATTCTTGCTTCGCATTTCGAATTAATGTTTAGACTTTAACAATATGCTTAAACATGTTTGGAAGTTGGAACAAGTGTAATTTATATTGTTTATAGTTTGTAAAGAAACTGATTAATATTTAGTTGTTTTCATTATTAAAGCTTCATGGATATAACGCAGATGTATCTAAACCAAAGAAAATTCTACCTAATCTACCTAAAGGTACGAGATAAATTTCAAAATTAATAACCATTTTCAATTTCCATATTAAACAAATGAGTTGATTTTGACTGAAGAGTGAAAAATATAAATGTCAAACCCGCAAACCCAAAGGATTTTGATGTTTTCCAGTGTATTAAATTTCAATAATCTAAATCAAAGACTACAATTCTCTTTACCTTTCCAACTTAACAAATATAGCAAAAAAAGGAAACAAAGCAATACAGTTTTGGAACATTGCTATACCCGTAGCAATTTACCCAGACTGTCTCTATACCTAACAGGTATCGATGCATGTTTTCATGCCTCTTTAATTTTCTAGCCTAATTGTTGTTTACATCTCAAGGTGACGTTATATGTACATGTACAAAGGTACGTACGTAGATGCATCTTGAGCAGGTAAATTTCGGTACCTGTGCACGATCGACACTATTTGCTGCAACGAATTCCCTACGGTTCTAAAAAGTATTCGACTTCATCCAAGTATTTAGATATTGAAAATACCAATAACAACACAAGACCAAAAATTTGATGTGGTTTGTGATGCTGATTCCCAATTTAGT